GGGGGGGTTGGTGGCTGAGGGAGGGGTGGCAAGAAAAGGTGGGGGTGGGTAGATGGCGCTCGCAGAGGGGGGGGACGGTTTGTGGTGTTTCATGGTCATCTCTGCTGCTTTTTTTGTCTTCTTCTTCTGAATATGGTGATGTGGAGAAGGAAAATTTAATCCTGAATTATTCAGGCTGGCTAAACCAGACTGTGGGAAGTTGTAGAGCCCAGATAATACCGAGTGGCTGAGTGCTGGCATGGTGGGTGAGGTATGACGGCAGTGGGTGTGGTGAAGGTAACGAGCACCGCAGCAGCTGCCTCTACCTCAGCTTTTACTGCTCGGGAAAGAGCTGCTGCTTTGAAAACAGCAATTGTTTCTTTTAAAACATCCCTTCGACACCCCGCCGTAGCTTAAAAAGGATATTTTGGAATTACTTTAAAGGAGCAGAGAACAAAGCAGAAAACATCATTACGCCGCTGCGTAAATCGTTGGCACTTTGTGCCCGGGATGTTGCTGATGGCCCCGGTCAGCACTCTCCAAAGGGGAGCGCTGGAAAAGGCAGGGGCAGAGGAGCAGGCTTGTGGGCAAGCGAAGCCTTCGCTTCCTCACCTTAGGGGAGGAGCTTGCTGGCAGGAGATGCGATGCAGGTGCCTGAAGTCACGGGCAGGTCAGAGAAAGCCAAGGAGGGAACATCAGTTTTCTGTTTCTTACAGGAAATTATGATGCAGCAGGTCTAAAATAAACAGGCGGAAGTGCTTTTTCGCACAACATGCTGTGAAACTGTGGCACTCTGCCACAGGATGTTCCACTGCCCGGTAGCATCAGGGGCAGCCGGACCAACGCGGAGCACTAAAGCTAACGGAGCAGGTATGGGAAGTTCCTGAGCTGCAGCCGCTGGCTGCCTGGACTTTCCCTGTCACAGCATCGTTCATCTCCAGTCGTCGTTTTGTCCCTGTGCTCCTTTGCACACCCACCGCCGAGGAGGGTGGGAATGTCTGGTCGAGGTCCTGACTTCAGAAATTCGTAAAACAGCCATTAAAGCTAAAAACAAAACTATATGTTGCTGATGCCAGATCAGGGCTGGCAGGCCCCAGCGGAGATTGGCCCGACAGAGTCCCTGCCCGTACCAAGGAGTGGCTCTGAGGAAGAGCTCCGCGCTGACAGATGCCCGTGAGGGTGTTTTGTTGTGGTGCGAGTGCCTTACAGTGCTTCATGGGGACGTTTCGTTAGGCTCATAAGCTTCAAATTAAAAGAAGCCAATATGATCTTGTCTGAATACTGTGGTGGGATGCAGCCTGGAGATCATTGCTTGGTGATTAGTGTTAAATCCATACGTTCCAGCAATATCATGGTGCTTTTTTTTGCCTTTTCTTTTTTTTTTTTCTTTTTTTGTCTTGTTTTGTTTTTTAAATTAAGAAAGCTGGAGTTGATTTCATTGTGAGAGCTTCAGGGGGTGAAACAGTGGCATTACCTTTGTAGTTCGTTTGGGTTTTTCCTTACAAGCTTTTTATTGTCACAGTCTTTTACTCCTGTGGATGTACTCAGGCCGTACTAAAATTAATTTCATGAGCGTTTAATTGACAGAATTAACAGTTTCAGCTTCCTTAGGCTCGATGTTTTAATTGAGTTAAGTTTTCCAGGCTGCTTATTCTCACAGATCTTTCTGAATCCTCTCCAATTTAACTTCTCTCTTTGAAGTGTGGACATGAGAACTGAACGAAACCGTTCAGTGGCGCCTTTGGCAATGTGGTTCCATGGACCTCCATGAACTTAAGTGGACAGTGAGTTGAACCATGAAATGGCAGAGGTTAAAACAGTCCTTGTCCAAACCCTCTCCCCCTAAAAAACACCCCCACAAAACCCATATTAGCATGGGTCAGGGCCTTGATGTAGTTTCTCCCATGAAGTATGGGGAGAAGTCAGGACTTGCTTCTCTTCAGCACCACTGCTGTAGTAAAGCCTAGATTAGCGCTTGTTTTTGCTGGTTTGTGCCCTGACGCTGATATCCTGAGGTTGATTGCTGAACAGTAAATGTGTCTCCCTGTGAGGACACGCCTTGGTTATTCCGTGAGCGCCGCTGAGATCCCATGCCTTGGTTGGCATCCCCATGCCTGGAGAGCGTGAGATGCTCCTGGTGTCCCTCAGCCCACACCCGCTCAGGCTGGGGAGCTCCTATGGGGCCCTGCCGCTCCCGATGCCATCCTGCACGCGTGCGTGTCCCTCGCCTTGCTGGAGTGCCACTGAAACTGGTAAGGTGCAGGAGCATTTCCAGTAACGTATTCTGATATTTTGCAGATGCTGCCCTTTTCCATTTCTAAACCTAATGAGTTAAATTTTGCTGGTGTACAATGTACCAAGGCGTGTCTGCCTCCAGCTCTGCGATGTTTTGCAGTCCTGAGCAGCCAGCAGGTATCTGGATGTGTGGCCAAGGTTTTACAGGTATTTGATTTCTGATTTCCACAATTCCCAGGCCCATCGCAAAGCAGCACTCGTTCTACAGGCACTGCCTTGCCTAACCAGGGAGGCAGCCCGCAGTGCCTGCAGCCAAAGTCCAGCCCGGCCCTGCCCGCCCGATCGGAGATCTGCGGTCTCGGTATCGACAGCGAAGAGAGCTATCTGCCCAGGGTCATCCCAGTTAAAAGGAACTGTGGACTCTGGGCGATTGCCATAGTGCCCTTGAGCTGACCAGAGTGTGGTCGAAAGCGGAGGTCATGCAGTTGCTCAGCCCTGAGCTGCTCTGGCATCGCTTGCCTGCCAGGAGGGGCCGTGCTCGAGGTGCCTGGCTCGGCGCAGAGGCACCCGTGCTTCCCTCGCTGCTGCTGCCGTGCTGCTGCAGCAGCAGCACTGCTCGCTGCATTGCCCTCGTCTGTGGTCCGTCAGCATCTAGCGGCCATGGGACGTCTTTGGGGTAAAGCTGTCTGTATATTTATCACCCATAGGAGCCTGTCTGCTCATGTACAGGTAAACGTGGAGGATTAGGCACGGTCTCCCTGCATTTTTGGTGCTCTAGTGTGATTTAGTACTTGATCCCGTGCTGCAGCAATCTTTGATCCTCTCCTGGGAGCATGTTGCAGGAACAGAGACGCTGCTGTGCTGCTCCGAGCAAAGGCCGGGAGCGTGATACAGCTGGACTGGTCTCATCTGGAGTCTTTAAACCCTGCCCAAGCCGGACGAGTGGGGCTGCTGGAGTAGGGGTCTCCCCGTGCGACCGACTGCTCAGGGGGCTCCCACCGGGCAGTGGCGCTGGGCTGAGCTCTGCTGCTGCACCTCTGTCCGCGCTGGCTGCGGTCTCTGCCTGCCTTCCTGTCCTGTTGTGTTTCAGCTGAAGACCTCGCTGGCGAGGAGGGTGGCAGAGGCACCTCTAGCCCGTATCTGATTCAACATCTCCTTGGTAATAGCTACCCTTGCTTCAGTTTGCAATGCCAAGTGGCATCCCTGCTGTCCTGAGCTGAAAGCACCCAGTTTTGTGGGTGATTGGCTTTGTCTGGAGCCTGCTCAGCTGGTTCATTAAATCAGATGGTTTCCTGAATCCTAGCTTTTTCCCTGTGTCCAGACAAATTTGATTTGACATGAACTGGAGTTGCTAGGAAATGGTAGAACAAGTGATGAGGAACGAAGTCGGAATGGCAAGCGAAACACTTCACTGGCAGAGAATAGTAAAATTACATGTGGTGCTATGACAAGGGGTTTTCTTTCTTACTGGATTTGTGTGTTGATCACAGACAGGAGGGAGATGAGGTTATTAGACGTAGAAATGGAAATGTTCTAGCAAAAGCCACAGCCTGCAGTTTTACGTACATTAATACACTCT